CTACTACTCATCCGATGCACTGGCATCTAATAATTTTTTTGGCTAATATTTGGTGAGTAACCCTTTTGCTGTCAAGCCTGTGTTTATATTATATTTCATTTATAAAATTGTCGTAGTTATTGTTTATTGACAAAAGTTAATAATTTTATAATATTGTTCTACTTCATTAATGATCTTAAACCGTAGGTAATTGTGATGATCAGCCATATATACAGGATTAAAAATGTCACTGAAGCTCTTCTGCAGTATTGTGCCATCTCTTTACTTAAGTTCCCTGTTTTTTTGTCCATCTATACCTACTGTAAATACAGCCCTGGAGTATTCGTACCTAAGCAAAGCCAGGCGATTTATTAAAAAAAAAAAGTCATGAATGGAAACAAAAATAAATGTACACTTTCCTGACTTAAACGGTCATAAGTTAATAGAACAGGTTTCTTTCTTCTTCTCACCCCTTTCTGCCTCTTTCCTTTTTATTGTTTGTGTAATTTTCTTTTGTCTTTTATTTGACAGCCGAGTCTCACAGCTTTTTCACAGTCATCCTGTCTGACTGTTACACCGGATGTCTTGCTTTTATTGTTTGTCTTGATTACATGAAATGAACTAGGAGGGAAAATGTGTTCTCACTGACGTGCACACCCTTTAGACCTTGCTGATATTGTTAAAAGCGACAGTTGATTTAATGCCACTTTTGTTTCTTTCATTATTTTCTCTGGCACTCTTTTCCCTGTTTCCGTTGCCTTGATATAAAGCATGTTGCCTTCCGTTATACCAGACATGCGCATTACCCACATCCTGACTCTGGTATTGAAAACACAAGGGAGCTAATGAGTCTCACCCACTTATTCACCAAATGGCTTAAAAAGAGGGAAGAAACTTCCATTATCTAACCTATTTTTAACAAAGGCAATCCTTTGTGCTCTGTTGCAAGTGTTCCTGCATATGTGTATAAGTGGAGAATATGAAGGATGAGGTAACAACGTACTATGTAAAAGGAGGTCTGTGAGCTGCAACTCCTGGTGACAGGGCCCCAGGGAGGTTCGGGAGAAGTTGGTGCTGCGGTGTTATTGAAGGGGTGGGGGTGGTTGATGTCATCAGTTGCAAAATGCCTCTCTTCTAGGTCGCTGCAGATCCTCTTTCATATTTTGTTTCAAAAAGAAAAGGGCAGATGTACATTGTGCAGAGGGCGAGATCAATTTTGTACCACAGTGCTGTATCCAGTGACGGAAATGTGAAGGTGAACATATATAATAGCTCTGGTTATTGTTAAAGTCATAACACCGTGTCCATTCGATGAGTTCACTATAGAATAACAGCTGAATCTTCCCCCTGCAGTTGTTACGTAACTGCTTTCCTGTCCAAAGGTGACTGTCTCCTCTGCCTCTATGGTCTCTGCAGTCTGCAGTGTTTTGTTTTCTCATCACCAGCCTGTGTGGACCAGTCCTGTTTGACTTAGCATGTCAGTACCTGGTCACGGACTTCCATCCGTCAGTTAATCTCATGTTTGTTTAGGTCAGATGTTACGGCTTGGTGTTTGTTAGCGATGGAAATGTAATGTTTAGATCTTGTTTATGGTGTATACAGATTGTTCAGATTGCTCCCCTTCTCGCTCACTGTCTGCACCTCAAGTCCTTGACTGCTCACTCGCTTTCTGTCCATCTCTATGTCCCCTGCAGTCCACTCTATGCTGCCCAGCCGTCAGCAGTTTGTTTATGGGACACTGTTTGCCAAGCTAATCTTCCCGCGTTTCATGTGGGAGCCAACAAGCAGAGAGGAGAGGGAAGGAGACACGGGGAAGGAGGGTGAGAGAGAGAGAGAGGGAGAGGAGAGAGAGCAAGAGTGTGAAAGTGAGGTAGGCAGTTGCAGTCTTTGGCAGGGAGAGAGAAACACGGTCAGGGAAGTGTGTGTGCGGAGTGTAGGAGATTATTTTTGTTGTTGTTTTGAAAGGAGATTTATGTGTTTGGGAGGCAGAACTGCCAAAAGACCTTTTCATTGGTCCATCCTGCACGACTGTCATGAAGCTGAAGGCTGTTGGACTGGCCATATGATTACACAAGATGCTACTCCTGAAGTGGGAACTGCTCTCCCAGTGCTTCTGAAGTCGAGCTTTCAAAAGAGGAACAGAGACAGGGAAGTGTAAGGGAAGAGAGGGCTCTGAGGGTTGGAGCTTCACCACCCCCGACTCTGCTACACCACCAGCTGGATGGGGGTCCTGGTGTGCTGCGATTGCTTCTTCTATAGGTAGCTAAACATATCATTATTGTGTAAATGTTGTTTTTATTTTTGAGCCTTCTGTCTTACTATTGTTTGTTGTTATAGTTGTGGTTGTCATCTACTTGGTTTTTCAACATTCCTAAATGTAGTGTATATTTTCAGACTTTGACTCCCTCCCTATTTCCCTCTCACCCACTCTGTAAAAATGCTGCGGTTTTGAGGAGACAAGACATTTAAGGACAAGTGGTGCTTAAGCAGGCAAAGATTTTGCAGTAGTCAGAGACAGTGGTTGTCTTGCCTTTTGAGAGGGAGGGAGTGAGGGAGGAGAAGAAGAATGAAGGATAGAGGGAGGGACAGTGGTGAGAACGGGGACAGTGATGGCACATAGCCAGCCTCCAATACCTTACCAAAGGTGAAGTGTTACACGTTGTTGGTTAATTGCTTTTGTTAGGATGGAAGCAGGACCTTTAATGGCATGCTGCCAGAGAGCAGATGCTCAGCCGAGCATGGCCAATCCATTCTCCTGTTTGTTTGACCCAAGTGTTCCATTACTAAAGTTCAAGGATCCAGTTATTGTTTTAACCTTTTTTACCATTTATGTTATTTGCAGACTATTGAACTTGCAGACTTTGACTTGTTTTTCAAAAAAATCAACTCTCTGTGTGATTAGCTTAGGGTAGGAAGAGTGCTTTTAGAACCTCTAAATTCCTTAGGCTTGGTGGCTCTCACAAAGAAATGTATTGTCGTTGATAGGAAGAAAAGTGTGATTTACCTTAGATTTTCTGGCAGTTTGAGTAAAAACTAAAGAGTAAAACAGACACCCCTGTCGTGTGGTTATCTGGTTGGCTTACCTGAGCCTGACTTTGTTGCTTTATAAGGTTTGAATATAACTTTAGCCTCATCTTAGGAGCCTTTTGATGGTGAAGATAAAACTGTAGCTTTAACGTAGTGGCTCACAGTTCAGCTGGAGTAGATTAGGCCTTTCTTTGATTCAGAACCCTGTTTATACTGCTGCTCGTGGGGTGAACATAAGGCCAGCATTCATGTGCATGCCTTGTGTATCTGTGATGCACCCATGTTATTTACTGTTGGTGGGATACAAACAGAAGCTTGTGCTTCTGACATACCTAGTATATGATTAAGGCAGGGGTGGAACCCAGGCAAAGCTGTAATTTCTAATAGGCTCATTAGGACAAAATGGGCCATCATGTTTATTTTTAGTATTTCCCCTCTGTCACTCACTTTCATTTGTTCTTTCTTTCTCTCTCTCTTTCATTCGTGCATTCTCTCGCTCATCATTTTTCAGCTCAGCAGTGTTACCATATTGTTTGATTGATGTTCAGTGTGGGGAGTGGTCCACACAGCCCAACACACGTCCTAATTTAGCTTTCTCCAAACTAGCCCTCCTGCAACTTTCAGTGGCTTTTTGTGGAATAAAAGGTGCCTGTCAGGTCACTTTGAAACAATCAATAGAGTTATTTGCCAGTCTTTAAATCCACAGTAACTGATTGCTTGCTTGTAAAGTATTCTTTATGCAATCATCCACTCTCCTTGTCAGTAGGTAAGTTAAACATTTGGGATATGTGTTACAATGTAACTGTGGCACATTTGGATTTTTCTTTTGGAAGTCTTTTTGGAACATATGCATTTTCACTAGACCATTTATTAATTTGTAATAATTTATTTAATTTAGCTTAGATCAAATAGAAAAACAAGGAAAAATATTTACAAAGCATTTGACTTTGAAGAGGACTTTTTACTGGAATGTAATATTTATTTTAATTTTGTGTTTAGTGTTTTTATGTTCTTTCCTCCTCTATTTACAGTGGAATGCCTGACTGGTCTGATTGGATTTTAAACGTAACAGTCCAAATGTGTTTCCTGTACAAAAAGAAAATCCAATAATTTTTAGTTGGAACTGTTATAGTTTGTTTATAGTTAAAGGTCTCAAAGCTTATTCAGTTGTCAGCCTTGTTACAAGAAGTTCAGGATTGATACTCCAACTCCTTGACACTGACAAGTAAAAACAGTATCAGTGTTTCCTAGTTCTGTGTTAGAATTATACATCGGACCAAGTTCATATTGGTCTTAATTTTTCTTTTAATTATCCCCACTCCTCTATAACGACTCTTGTGGACACAGGTTTCTTGCAATTCTTCCTCACATACATCTGCAGCCTGACCACAAATTCAACTGTTTTTTTTCTGGTCCGTGGTCTAATGTTTCCCTCATTCTGAGATGTATTGTTGATGCTGAGCTGCTAGGAAACTGACATACTGTATTCAGCCTTTGGGGTTACCATCAAATGACAAAGGTTTGGAAACCACCATTAAGTAGCTTCATCTGGAATTTTTGAGTAGACAAAGAAGAAGTTTGGCCTAATTGAAGAGACGATCTGTAAACAGTTACAGTTGAGTTTTTTTCCCTACTTTTGTGCAGTGTGGACAGTGAATACGTGCAATGTCATCGTTGCTCTCTTTTGCGTGTGAACAAAAGATTTAATTGTGTTATAACAGTGTGGGTGTGTTGTATTAGCGGAGCAGCCCCTACTGTTTGCCATGTGTCTCTCATTACGCTATCTTTGGCAGGCTTGGCTGCTATCACAGGGCCAAGACGAGCAGCTCAACAAGGCCACCGTTCTCCACCAACAAGCCCACACTCTGTCCTTTTAGTCCCACATACTCTGGCCATGTGTGGCTGCCTGTCACTAAGAAGGGGCTTAACTAAAAAAGTATTTGTTTTAGTCCCACATACTCTGGCCATGTGTGGCTGCCTGTCACTAAGAAGGGGCTTAACTAAAAAAGTATTTGAGGGAAGTTTACAGTAAAAAAAAAAAAAGTATGTTATAATGTAGAGTTTATTGAAAGCTTTGTTTGTTGAAATTAGATATTTCTTATGGTATTGCTCAGTACAACACAGTTGCTCTGTCAGTGTGTCTGGGAAAGAAAGCTGAGTCACCTAACTAAACTTTCCCTTTTTTAAACATTAATGTTTAATGGTTTGTTCCTGCTGCCAGGCTAGAGGGAACTCTTTTTTTTAATTTAGAACAATTCCAGTATCTACTGTAGCAACTGACTTTGACAAAAAAAAGAGCATATTTCAAGGCAGACTTGCCTGGCTGAGGTATGGGTCTCTGTCCCCTGTTTCACTTAGATAGATGGATAGGTAGCTGGTCAGTAGGGATGTAACAAAACAGTCCATCCTGACTTTGCTTCTCTACTTTTACCTGGCCTGCAGTCACTGCAGAGGTCACATGTCACATACTGGGCCGGTTGCATAACACAGGCGCAACTAAATCTTGTTGGAAGAGATGGCCTTGCAGCTACCACCCCAGTACATTCCAATCCACTAGATCAGCAAATCAGTGTGCAAGGTGATGAACGCTTATAATTCATATACATATTATCTTCTTTTTCTCAATTGCTTTGAGTCTGTCTTCCTTTGTTACAAATATCTCAGAAACAGCTTAAAGGTATAGTTTGTAATATTCTGTTTTTTGTTTTGTTGTATTGGAAGTATGCAGACTCACTGTCCTTCTCAGTGGTCAGTGCTATGAACACATTTATAATGCACTGATTCATGTGATTTAGGTGATGATAGTGATGCTAGTACAACTTTCACAATTTCTATAAATTGAATCAACTACCATGGTCAAATTCTTTTTCTTTGTGGAGGTTTGTTGGTTTTCGTTGAATGTAAGAAATGTAATTCTCTGACTCATCTAAGCAAAACCTCAATAAATGATTGATGAAATGTCTGTTTGGCTAAAAATAGTGAGTTTTCCTGTTGAGCAGTGCTTCTCCAACAATGCTTTACAAAAATCCTTGATACATAAACACATCCACCTCACAATACTACAAAATAGTGTTTTGTGACAAGATAATAAAAAGCAGATTTATTTCCACAAATGGGATCCAATCTTGGCTCGTTTAGGTGGACACACGTGCGTTGCTTCTTCTTCTTTTGACACTAATGGTAGATCTACCTCTCCTTAATTGTTGCAATGGCACCTACCAGGTATTTGGTTGGCTACTGAATATTTACCAGAGGAACACAATCAATTTATTTTCAGAATAAAACAATAACAGGCTGGGCATTGTCACTGCTAATGAGCATGAAAAAAATGTTGTGTTGCTCTGCCTGGCAGGCAAACATTTCCTGCACTGTAGTTGAGTGTTGACTGTGTGTGGCAGCAGGTGCCCTGTAGGCATGGAAAAACTCATTACAGCTGCTCAGTGGCTCAATTGGCAAGTGAATAATGGCTTTATTGTGTTCGGTTGAGTTAGAACGTTGGTCAGGTGGCAGGAAAAGGCTTAGACAGACTTCAGAACCAAAACAAACTCTCCCCATAGTCTTTGTATAGGCTGTGAAGGTGGAAAATGGGTTATACTTCTGGTAGTATTGCTTTCTGGCTTCCCTACCAACAAGAGGCCTATTTGGGAGAAAGGAAGTGCCTGGGCGCCTCACTTCCTGTTTATAGAGTTTGTTCCAGGCGAGAATAAGAGGGAGGGTATGCTGCAGTCTTGATGAACAAGGAAGCCATTAGTTCGGAGGTAAGGCTTCCGTATTTGCTTTCTGTCTCTAATTAAACCACCTACTCTGACTTATGCTGCATAGCTGTGAAATTGCTTCTGTGTTGCAGCAGTTTGGGCAGCTGTGTTGACACATTTATATCAATTATCTTCCATGTGACTGTTTTGAATACACAGAGTACATCTTAAGCAGTGCAGAATGATGGCTCGGACATCATGCCCAGGTTTGTGCGTCACATCTTTGACCTCAACTTGTAGGACTATATTTAATCAGAAGGAGCTGTGGAGAGGATGCTGCAGAGCTATCAGGGACGCTGCAGAGTGCTGACTCCACTGTGTTCTGAGGTGACGTTAATAGCATTTTATTGCAGCTGCCCTGCCAGAAAGGATTGAATCTTAAACACGCTTTTATATCACAGATGGTTTGTCTGTGATGTTAGCAGCACCTTTTACTCTACCATTGTTGACATCTTTGTGTTGCCGAGAGATGTCCCATTGCTGTAGCTAGCCCTTTCCCAGGAGAGATGATGTCACAGTTACTCCTCTACATCAGGCTAATCAGAAATTTGTTTACACCTGAAATCTGTAGACAATCTGAGACAAATTCTCACACACACACACACACACGATCAGCTACTCAAGGGTAGTCATTGTTGATTGAATTGTTGATTAATAGCATCAGATCACGACCACATTCCTTCTTTCTGCTTAGGAAGTGCTGCCTCTGCAGAGGAAAAGATGACATTGTGTGACAGCAGTTACAGAGGGTAACTTGCATCCCTCTGCACTCGGCACCAAGGACAACTATTGATTTGACCTTTTTTGCCTGCTTTCAATCCATCTCTTTTATTTTGTGACTTTGGCAGCAGCTGCCTTTAGTCAATCTGTCCCAGAACCATTGACGCACCATCTGTAAATAACATTTTTCTGGTAGCATGTGACGTAAGGATTTTAAAGTAAAAAAAAGTAACAAAACAGACATGATAGTGTTGCTGTTCTGGGGTTGTTGATTCTTGTGGCTTTTTGGGATGCAGTCTGTTCCCCTTTCTCACAGCAGACTGACACTGGGCATGCTCAGTTATTTCCTCCATGCCAGCCTGACAAAGGGCTGGGCTGTGCTGTGGTTTCACTGTCATCTTAACAATGTCCTTTAGGAAACACAAAACATGCATGGCTTTGTCCCAGAATTTCCATAACATTTGCTGCCTTTTTCTCTTTGTCTCTATGCTTTCCCCTCCCCAGAGAGTCAGCCCCTTCCTCTTCTGTGTTGTAGACACTACATGTGATGTTGTTTAGTCTTGATTACAACTTGTCTCTGCTTTCACCTTGTGCCAAACACGTACACACCGCTGTTTTCTTCTGATTAGACCCCAGAGAAGGATATTTACTGACATCCTTACGTGATCTACTGTCAACGCTAATTACTAGAAAAAACATCTTGGGTGTGTAACACATGTTCTGCTGCTCTGGGTATTGGACTTTACAGTTGGTAAACTTAGTATCTGACTACTGTTTGCTTTTGTTCAGCCTTTTTTGTTTTGTGGCACTGCCCCAGTTATTACAGGTAGGTTTCCATAACAGTGAGAGGTCATTAAATCTGTTTTATTTTGTTATCAAAATAAAATAATAATAATATGTTATCATTTAATATGTTATCATTTTTTCTGCCTATGTTTGTGAAATTAAGTGTTTCTCAATTTTACAGATATAGAGACTAATGTCGCAGCCACACTGTAGTATGTAGTATAAACAATACTCGCTAGCATTCCAAATATTGTAAAACTGAATTTAAGCCTAGTTATTTATTTTAATTACATTATACACACATGCTTTCACACACAAAGAACCATCTTGGTCTTCTGAAAACACTGAGGCCCCGTTTTATTCTACTTTCCAGCGTTTGATACCTATCCTTAATTACTAAAATAGTTTGTAATCCTCTTTTAAAAATTGCTCTTATGTTCCATAGCAGCTGTACTTGGTCAGAATACTAAAACAGCAAATTGTTTTTTAAATTTAAACAAACCTTTCTGTGTGTACGTGTTCCGTGTGCGAACAGTCTGTACTCTTCTTTGAAAGTGACCTTGTTTACTCTGTGTGACCATGCAATTGTTCCAGATAAGCAAAGTACCAGATGTGAGTTGGCTGTTTTTTTTTTTTGTTTTTTGTTTTTTTTTTCAAAGCCGGACTCTCACAGACTTTCTCTTTGATGACTGGTGATATGTTGTAAATAGAAGGTTTCCTCTCCAGGATCACTCACGTTGGTAGACCCAGAATGATTTTTCCTCCTTGCATCCAGTGTTTTAATCTAATCTGGAGTAATGTTTTCTCCAAATCTTGTTTCTCTAATCATACAGTTATTGTGAAATATAAACCAAATGTATCTGTAATCAAAATGAGAATTTCTGTTGTATTTTCTTCATCCATGCATAACTTTCTTTTAAAGACAACTGTCATGTGTCCAACTTGAGATGCAGGGCATAAAATGGCAAGGCCACGTGAGTGTGGGCATTTACTGTAATGCCAGACAGTCTGGTAATGTGTCTGCTAATGCAGGAAATGGTCCCCACCACCTGGGAATAAGTTTCCTCAAAATATCTGCCTTCATCTTTCATGTCTGTTTGTTGTTCTTAACGTCTTTTTAGTTTGAGGGAATGCAGACTCACGGCAGAACTTATGCAATGTACCTAGAAACAGACCAAGTGAACTAATGTGCTCTGACTGTAGGTCGTGGGACAGCTTCCAGCTCTAATCAGTTGGTTTAAAAGCTGTTTTTTTCTGGCCTGATGGCTTCTTTGAATGAAATTCACCTCAGCTGCTCATGCTGTCAACAAAATACCCTCTTTATGTAGCAAATATTTTCAACATTCTTCTTATGGACAACTCATTCCACTTTTGAAGCCCTGGTTACCTGAGTATTAGGTGCAACCTACAGACACAGTCAGTGTATTTACATTATATTTGAAACATCTAAATTATAAAGTCAGTTTAACTGGAAAGTCATGATATCCTGACTTCAGTAATAATTGCATTTTGAAAATGTACTATGTTGAGTCTAGCCATAGTGGGACTTTATATATACATATATCAGATCTGATAGAAGCAGCATGCACTACTTCAGGTCAGTGTGGATGTCCACAACAGATGGTTACTTTGACTAACTTGCTAACACTAAACATGTCAACCCAAAGTTCAATAAGTAATATGGTATCTTTTTAAATATATTTATGTCAGCCACAACTGAGAGCTGATATTGCTCTTGTGGTTTGTCTTTATTTTAAAATGTGTTACTAGAATTTATATTTTTCCTTCACTCTAAACAAGCGAGCTCTGTTACTCTGACCCATGTACGCACATCCTGTGCAAACATGTGTGCCACCCTACTCCCTCTCCCGCCTTCTCATCTCTGTATCCTCCATCTATCCCCTTATTCCATGACGCTTTTTCTCCAATATCCTGCCTCCAACTTAACCAACCACACTACCCAGCATGACACACAGACTGCCTCTTGTGCTCAAGTGCAAACAGTAATGTGTTTGGCCACAGCTCTTCTCCCTTCAAGCCCACCCTTTTTTTTTTCGTCATTGACTCCCCTCTGTTGCTCCCATACTTAACCACCCCTCGTTTAGTTTTAGTGGAGAAACAATCGTTCTACAGCACCTTGTTTTTTCTTGGTTTCCACTCTATTTTATGACCTTCCTTTTACTGAGCCAGACTAGCAGTAGTGGAAAGTAAGTCATTAAATTTACATCTGTCGCCGAGGTCCAAGTTTGGTTTCAGGTGTCAGAAAAATTCACACTCCCTTCTTGTAAAATCCAAAATAGAGGAGTATAAAATGGAAAACTTGAGCTGGCGCTGTGTAAGGTGGAGACAAATCAGGACATAAAAGCATTTTTTAGGTTTTGTAGCCTACTTTAAGATTTCTGCTCTACAAAAAACTGCTGAAAGCTACAAAAATGCCTGTTTTTGAATTTACCGATTTCACATCTCTGCACATTCACATATTCTACCAGCAGGTAGCAGTGTTGTTACATCTCATGTCTGGTTAGTCTGTATGTGTTTGAAAAGACAGAGAAACAGGGGAGCAAGAGAGATGGGGGAGAGTTGGAATGTTCAAACTTATCGTGACTAAAACTAACACACACACTCCTATGCTAGGTATGAGCAGTTATCTTGGTGACATTTTTGTTTCTGTTTCAGAAATGTTCAGAATTTTATCTGCATTTGGAAGATCAACAGGTTCAACTTGTATGTCCTTACGTCAATGCCAAGGTTATCATACCCTTCTAAGAAAGAAATGCATTCTTTCATTGAATTTTGGTGGAACTCTGAGGCGTTGGTAAAACGTATTCACATTTCACAACACGGGGTTGGTTCTTCACCTGTGTGATATCTCCGCTTGTTGCGTGAGCAGCACATTTTAACTTTTATGACCTTATTTTGGGTGATGAGTCATTCCAATAGTATCACAAACAATAGACGACTTCATTACAATTTCTTTGTTGATGTGCCAGAGGACAGTTTTGCTTGTTAGCAGTGGTGTGCATCTGCATGTTGCAGGTTATTTCACATTGCTGACCTCACACCTGACCTTCTCTGCAGGAGTGCATGTCTTTCTCTGGTTGGGCGTGAGGGAGGGGTTTGCACTTGAAAGACAGGTGTTTAGCTGGCCAGGTGGTGATAGAAAGACTCCCCCTGTTAAAGAATGTAGGGAGGAGTGCATTGGGCGGCTGGCCGAGGCATGCTGTGACAACCTCCCACATTGAACCAAACTCGTTTACTCTTCCCACTTATCCAAAAGTTCTGGTTTTCTATCATTCACTCATTTTTTGGTCTGTTCTGTTGCTCTGGTGCCTGTGGTGCCATGTCTTGACTCTTCTCGTTCAACTACATCCAACTACTCATGTCCTTACTTCCTTCCTTCTGCTGCCTCCCATTTTGTTCTTTTGTCCACTGTTCAGCTTGCATTGTTCCAGAAATGGTGGTAGTTTCCCCCAGTATTTAGAATTGAGTCTTCATTTCATTAATCATTTTAATTTGCATAGTACCAGCATCATTTATACCAGGAACCTTGCTCAATGAGCTAAAGTGTTCCCGTGTACAGTGGTTGTCTGTGTTTTTACTGCAATAAAACAACTTGATTAATAACTTGAACAAGATTATGCTAAATAGTCATCTGTGTGCCGAAACGTTTTACAAAGTTCTTAACATATAAAATATACATGTTAAGTAGGGATGCACCGAAATACAAATTCTTGGGCGAAAACCGAAAATGATAAAACCAAGGCCAAAAATTTAAATACTGAAATAAATTATTATGCCATTTATTAATACTGTTGTATTCATGGCTATGACTGTACTAAACCTCAATAAAATCAAGGCACTGTGATTGCATAAATTATATAATAAATTAATAATTGTCAATATACTTATTTGTGAAATGTCTAGCAGAGAAGTCAAATGCTAGTCCACATAGGAAGTCAGAACAGAAAATTCAGTGCATCCCAAGTTCTAAGTTTCAAACAACCTATCATTCCTTTCCTTTTACTTTTATTGTCCTTGATTCACCTTTTTTCCAGTTGTCATTTCCAGATGTTACTGAAGTCCATCAGGGACAGGCTCTTTTCTCTGCTTATACTGTCTGTAAAATAAAGCAATAACTTTGGACTTTAACCTTTTGCATCCATATATATATATAATAACTCCTTGACATAAAAAGCTGGTTTGCACCAGTCTGTGTCACTGATTGTTCTACACCTCATGCTCACGACATCCACTTCGGGGTTTTCTGTCTGCTCCGTGTCTCTTGTCTTTTTTTGTTTTTGTTTTCGGGCATTGCAGTGTGTACAGAGCGCAATGGCATGTCTCTGCATGCAGCCCTTCCCCAGGAGGAATGCAGCGCAAAGGAGAGTTTAAGCCAGAGAGAAAGGGAGTGCACATGTGAAGAGGGGGAAGAGATAGAACAGGGAGAATCGGACAAAGACATTAGGTAGAAAAGAAAAATAATAGATCACATCTTTTGAAAAGAAATTGTTCATAAGTCGAGTGATTTTTGTCACAGTATAAAAGCTTTGGTCATGGAACAATGGGTAAAGGCAGAAGCTGTAACTTTTTTCACTCAAGGCACTTAGAAGTTTTTATGTAGTTTTTATGTTGTGGGATTTATGTCTAACTTTTTACTTTAAAAAAAAGAATAAGCGTATAATAAACACGTTTTTCCCATGCCCACTCTGTAAAAATTAAAACAAGCTAAGCAATATTTTGTATTTGCCTATTGTCCAAAAAGCTTTTATGTTTTTGTTTAATTTCTAAAAATATATATTACTAATTTAATTAATTACTTCATTCATTTAAATGTGTTGGCTCACTTGGCCCTTGTCCTAACCTTCTTGGACACAACCATTCTTTACATTGACATGTCATAGAAGCATGATGGTTTGGTTTAAGCTACACAAATACAGGGTTAAAAACGTGAAATTAGTTTTTGGAGCCTGTTTGATTTACTTGTTCTCAGATTAGTTCTTCAATATGTTTCTAGAGTGGCAGACAGATGATGAATTTTAGGTTATATATACTGTTTACCTGTGGTGATGAACACAACCCTCTTTTGTCTTACAATGTTATTATTATATGGTGGGCTGCCAGGTTCAGTTTTTATTTGATAATCCTCTTACTGCTCAATAACATCAGTCTGCACAGTTTTCAGTGGCTTTTATTAATTAATTTTAGTTTTAACATGTTTTGGTGCCTGACCTGTGTGTCAATTCAATCTGAGCGGTGATTGGCTGAAAAGCCACAGTGGCTTTAGCTGTTGCCAAGCCCTGAGGCACATCTGCTCTGGTTGTGACTTATTTACTGCTGGCCTTGAATCAGTGTTTTCTTTGTCTCAAATAGGTGGAATGTGGGCTGACTTTCAGACCCAACCTGTTGTGCCAGCCATTTATTTTGAGCAGCCAAGTGAGTGTTGCTGACTTGCCTGCTTGGACCCACCCATTTAAATTAAGCTTTAGCACAGTTTTCCTGTTCATTTATCTGATCCATATCAGTGGATGGTTAAATTGGGTTACACTTTTGTTTGTAAGTTTTGAATACAACATACTGTTACTGAATTTTTTTTTTTTTTAACGACTGCCTCTTCCAAAAAGCTTGTGTTTTGTTAATCAAAATGACTCAGTTACAACTTCATCTGTATCCACAAAATTGTTGAAGGGTTAGACATAACCCAAGAAAGAAAACATTAAAGTCTGAAGCAGATGTGGTGGTTTGAAAACAGGATTTTTTAACTCATCAAAGGCATTTAGTAAAATAGTCTTAAAATAATTTTGTGTTTGCGGTAGTTATGGTGTAACTACTATGGTGTGCTGTAAGGGTTCACTAATCTTTAATCTCTGACATCATGACTTTTCCCTCAAGCTTTGATGGCCCATTCTTTTTATAATTTGTAAGACCTTTTGGCATCAAATTCAGTCCAGTCTTTTGTGATTTTGTTTAAAAAAGAGCATTGTATACTTTTTGATAATTCCTGAAATAAGAAAACAACCATTTGTTGGAATTTTGTTGCTGATAGACCTTAAAACACTTTTCTTTTGTGTCATTCAATTTAAACCTATAACATATGTTTATGTGCTCACTTATCTAAAATTTGCACCCTTTGGTTCAGAGGAAACCGGTGGTTAGTGAATGATGCTCTTTATATACATGAGCACAGAAGGTGTCTGTAATGTTAGAATAGAAAACTTTGTGCCAGACAATGGAATGTGGCCGTTGGTTTCCATCCACGTCACACATTACATAAGCAGCCTCTAAAAGCTCAGTGGCTCCGTCTCCATCTTTACCTGCCCCATTAGCCTGCAGCAAGAAAAAAAAAAAACATAGGCAGCTGCAAGACAGCATGACTTGTTTAAACTAAGTAAAAGGTCACTTAAAGCTAAAAGCCACCTGCTCAATTTACTTTCACGCCTGATTCATTAAAGCACACTAACACAACAGTGGGTACCCAGTTCCAGGACAGGCCTCAGTGATCTTGAATGTCCAGTCTTCTATTTTTAGTGGCCAGAGGGATGTAATGGTTAAAGATAAATTATTAGAAAGTTGCCTCTACATAGGGTTACCTTCCTAGACAAACTCTTTGTAATTTAAGTAAAGGAAAGAACCACATTTTTAAACGTTTTCCACCTCTCATTATATTGACTAGATCGATAATTCAAAATATTTGTCTGACTAATTGACTATGAAAATAATACTTGGTGCAGATGTTGCTACATAAGAAGTAATTTAATGAGCCCTTGCTCAAAAATCACACCCACCAAGCTCCCTTCCAATCTTGTGTGCCCTCTGATTGGAGAGTAGGGTGGGAGTCAGTCGTGCAGGATGAGGGTTTGGAGAGTCTACCTACGATTCTTCAGATTACACAGGCTTTAAACATGCATACATGAGGTGCATAAAAGGGTCTTACGGTTTATAGTGAACATCCTTCATTGGTATGATTGCAGTCTCTACATGAAACTTCAAACACACAAATTACACAAAACCACAGACTCTTTTATCTTTGTTTCATGACCACATCCCCCTAAGTGCATACACACACTCCCAAGCAAACATGTCTCCAAAGATAAGCCTCTTCATGCCACTTGGCTGGTGGTCCAGTATTTCTCACAGGAACCCTTTCAGGGTCCCACAAGTTTTATCTCATTGAGATACAGAAAGAAAATGTATTTATTTAGGACTACAATAAGAAAACCAAAGTAAATAAATATTTTCTAACCAATTTTCACAGAACTTAAATTGCTTCTATTAAGAAGTTAACTGATCTTAAAAAGACCATTTCCATTATATCTATATGTTATATATTTTTATATATATACAATGTAGAAAGTAAAGTAGAAGCTGCACATTAAATATTAAAAAAAAAACACAAAACATTATAAAACTTCACAATAGTCTATAGTCATGGTCTGACCACCTGTTGTAACTACAAAAAGCAACAACTATGTCCACATGGACAGACCCTGACGTCACGACAGCCCATCCACCTGATCCTATCCGCCTTCTCTGATTGGGCCAACTTTGGTCCGGGGGTTGGTCCAATGACGTGGTCTTGAACAGGTTTTCCTACGTGCTGGAAAGTTGGTTCACATCACTTCAGCCCCGCAGTGATTTGGACGTTACAGTAGAAGTAGAAGGGGGAAGTAAGAGGGATATTCTAACGGCATATCTCCATGTTTTAAATTATGCTCAGCGATTATCGCTCCTTTCCCGGAGATAAGACGGACATGCACTCTCAGAAAAACTCCAAAAGTGGACTAAGTTGCAAAATGGTGCTACAGGCAGTCGGAAAGGTGCTAAGGTAAACACACAGCACATATTTAACTTGACATAAGAAGTGTGCTTAAAAGAATGCAGTTCATAACTCAGAATAATGTTACATTAAGTATGTCTTGCCTCTTCCCATTTACATAATAATACTAAACTCATGTGAATGCTACCAGCTAAATACCCAGTCTGGGTCTCTGTCGACGTGTTGGTGATCTTATAAACATTTTGTGTCATACTTCAATGACATCTAAAATAACCTCTCACATTAGACACGTCAAAACAAGTTCAACAACGATGTGTCCACGTTGCGACTGTCATGTGGAACTTGACGGGGCTTGTAGTCTCTCAACCACTTTAATTATTACTGTGTAATTCTTCGGGGAAATAGTTAATAGACTCCAGCAGCGTTTGGACCCGCGGTTTCCGGAAGCACAGCAGCGCAAAGGTCCGTGTTAAAGTGTTAGTGCAGATAGGTGTTGTCAGTGATTACGTACGTTGTCGGTACGTGCAGCCTCGTTTTTTAATTTCTCTTCCTGTAGCTTTGTAAGAGGACACAACAGGAACAAGGGAAAAGTGACACGGTCTTCTTATCTGGCGTAATTAATTATGGAACCGGTCGCTTTTACGTCCGAACACGAGTTAGTTTAGAGAAAAACGCTCTACAGTTGACAGTTCTTCAATGTTTATAGACATCAATTATTCGTTGAGGTAAAATATTGCAAGTCAAAATGTTTATATCGGTCAACATGTATACTAAGGCATGCTATACCTATATGCATTATGGGCGACCTATTAATTAACGTTTTATAGCACCAGTTCTGTAGTAGTTATGATCAATACCAAAACCTGATTTTGATATGTTGAAGCTGAGATGGTGAATCACAGTATTGTTACGTTAACATTTGTGCTGGACATTGTCTAACTATGGGCAGCAAATTAAGTCAGTCTAAATATTCATCTACATTGGGGGAAAAAAAACTAAAACTTGTGTTAAGTTAAAGTTTACTCTATCCTTTGGGCTATCCATGCCATGACCCCCACTGTAGTTTGAAGAATAACTCTTTAAAGGCAACTCTAAATTATTTTTTTTTTTACAATTTTTCTAAATGAAATGCTGACCCATTTCTAGAAAAGAAAATTGCCTAATGTATACTATGTGCTTGTGTCATGTGAAGTAGACATGCAGTCATTATGAGTGTATTCCTCCAGGTTAAATATCTTCCTGTAATTGCTTTGGTTAAAAGTTTCCTCTCACCTTTTATGTTTGGGTACAGGTGTGTTTTCAAGTGGTAGCCCAAAGGGCACATGTCCTAAAACTTCCTGTGGCCTGTGTTGATGTTGAGAGTGATAATTAAATTCTTTCCACTATCTAAGTGTCCCCTAGCTGATCATAAGCAGGATGCTGTGGCCACAAAAGCAGAGAATGTTATTGTACAGTGTGTTGTTGTGTCTGTTGCAAGAACCAGTGCAGGCAGTGACACGTTCTGCTGCTCCTTTTCTCTCTTATAGTGGCAATTCACGTTCCCTACTTAAGAAATCCACACAACCACCGCCTTAAACACACACGCGCATATTCACACAAGCGTGTGTAAGCATTTGCGTAAAATCTAATTTTTCTTAGTCATCAGTGACATCTTATCATGACCAACAAACATTTGAACCATTCAAGTCCTGACCAGCTTGCTTTTTCTCCCAAGTGTTTAATCAGCAAGTGGGTCAACACTCTTCCTTCCCCACTTTACCACTATTTGTCACACAAGTATTGTGATGTTGATGAGTCTCCATTATAGTGATAGCAGGAGGGCCCATACATACTCGGCAGCCCACAGAACCACTGAATAGGTTTAGCACAGGATGACTAGGAGATACCCAGACCTACAGTAAAGAGTGGGTGGTTGTGGAGTGTATGTCAGCGTGTGTCCTAGCTACAATTCTTATTCAGTGATTTGTGGTGTGACTGACATTGCTACTGATTAAACAGTGGCAGCTGGTCCTTCTTTGTTTGTCTATCCCTCTTATCTCTTTACAACGTAAGTGTAATTGACGAGTCTTGTGCTATTCTTCGAACTAGCACATGCTAGTTTCAGAAAAGCAAAGCTAAAACCCCTGCTTTACCAAACCCTGAAACTGTTTTTAGAACTGTAATAGCTACTGTGGTTTTGCTCTAGTGTGCTCAAACTCTCTGCACTCCACTGTCTGTGTTTTTTGGAATAAAAGAAGCCTATAGTCCACTTGGTTTGATTCTCAAAATAGATCAGAATGGCAAGGGTTTAAGAAAAATTATTCCTCCAACTAAAGTTGAACAAGGTGAGATATTCATTTTTGTGTCAATACAATTCAGGGCAACTTCCTAAAGCTGTTTGATCAGACTTCTCGTCATGAGTCACTGATCTGGATTAGTTGTCTGTTTGCCTCCTAACTCTTGTGATATAATCAAAGTCACTTGATTTTTAAGTTAAAAAAATTATTTGTTTTTAAGGGTACATCTTTTAACTTTTGGCCAGATCTTCCTGTTATAGAGTGACAACTAACATTCTGTAGATTATTTCTTTTTTAGTACTCTTTATATTTTGTTAGTCAGGGCTAGTGGTCTCTGTAGTGTTTTGTTTTTGTTTTATTGTGGGGCAAAGAATATAATTTTTGTGTTATTACACTTTAACAGTGTTTCTATATGTATTGAAAAATTGAAGATTTAAAAAAAATCCATTATATAACATTACCATGTCATTATTGCATGATTACACCTGTGTTTTTATCCGATGCACATTTGCCAGTATTTAGATTTGAAGATTTGCTGCCCAATGTATTAATTTTCACTGTTGAACGCTATATGCATTTGCAGGTCTGAGTGTAGAAGAAGGGAATTGGGTGTGGAGATCAAGTTATTTTAGAGAAAGTACTTAAGCTAATTGTAGCTACATAGCACTGTAATTTTGGTTAGAATGATTCCAGGATTAATTGGAAACAGGTTCTGGTAATGAGACAGAGCTGTTTTCTACCTGCCAAAGGGCTCCTTCTTTTTATACAAACTTCATATTACACCCATGTGTATTCAGTCGTCTATAAGCACACCACCTGTGTACATATCCAACAGTGAAAGTCCAAGGATAGATAACATTTTGGAAATGCACTACCTCAGACCCAACAGCCTTAGTGAACAATGCCACCCTCTCAGACCAGACAGAACCTTCTTCTTCTAGGTTTTCTCGAGGTCTCTGCTGGAATCAGTCTTGTGACGCAGCTGTTGTGATCAGCTGGGTCAGCCATGAAAAGAGAGAAGGGGCTGTAGCTAGGCCAATGAGTGTGTATGACATTGTGTGTAAGTGGGATACCAGTGGTGTTCTACTAGAGGTAGTTAGCGAAGACGGCTGTGGACTGGGGGAGGGTTTTTTCCTGGGAAAGTGAAAGGGGTGAGATAGTGGCTAACAGACCGAGTCGAACAGCTGTCAGGTATATACGCCCCCCATTTCCTTATTGTGCTGATAAACATCAGCATGGCTGACCTCCTGCTTTACAACAATAATGTCTGCGTGAGAGGTTTAAATACACCGGTGTTGCACTTGTGGTATTCCTGTGCAAGTTTTCTGCTTCTGAGCTTTGGTGTCAGGCAGGCTGTGGCTGTCCTACCAACCCAGAGACATATGCCTGGTCTTGACCTCAGTTCCAACTTCACTCCTTCCTGCCATGATCTGTCCCTGATCTGGTGAAGAGAAAGAGCCATCTGTTGCCTTTTATGGCAAAGGCTTGCCTGAGAGAACTTCACCAAGAACAGACAAAACAATGTGTGTGTGTGTGTGTGTGTGTGTTTTAGTAAAGACAGACCATGTATGTATGAGGGGAGGAGTGCTGGCACTCAGGAAGTTTTCATTTTCCTAAAATAAACTAATGGGTCCAAAGGTTTTATCTCTCCCTTACCACACAGCCTGGGGGAGGCATCTATAGAGAAAATTATGAAATTACAGAGGGAGAGTAGCAGGAAATAGCTAAGTGAAGCTGAATGTTTTTACAAGGAAGGGGTGGGAGGGGGGAACTGACTTGAACTTTCATAGAGCTCGACAGTTTTTTGAAGTGCTCAGTGCAGCCTTTGAAAAGTTGTGAGAGCTGTCGATATATGTGGATGAATAGCCTTTCTTGGGCAAAGCTGTCTCACATGATGAAACATTAAGCTCATGGAGACAACCACATGAATCTGCCCATGCCCTTCTGAGCAGGAGGAATGTGTTTTCTCTTCAGTTGCAGACAAACTAGATTGGACAAAGGCAACATACAATGAAAGAAAATCTAACAAACTAGTACAGAACATGAATGACAAATGAAAAAGGGTTGTGTGTTAATTATTAGACACCAGTGTAATCTACAATGTACCTGATGTATATGAATGTAAAGCCTGAATGTGCCCTACCACCATATGATTTTACAGCTGGTCTAGAAGTAAGTTTTTGAAAATTAGGTAGACAACAGATGACATGTTGTAGGAGCAGTCATTTTTACATGGATTAAAGGTTTTGTTGACTTTCCCGTTCTTGTTTAAACTGCAGAAGGCTTTTGAACACTTTCCTGGCCAAGAGGCCTTGTGCTGCACAGTCTTGTGTTTTCTCAGTGTTTATGAGTTCCCATGGATATCAGCTGGGCCTCTGTTGATATACCTCCTCTCCTAACCCCCTCCGACCCAGCCACCCAATCTTTTTTAGTCTTCTTTTGTATGTGTATTTTTAATGCACACGTCTACATGTGCAATGTCAGTGTTATTAAACTGTCCTGCAAACAAAGTGAAGTATCCGTCTCTGTCGTCCGAATTCCAGAGTTAATAGCAGCAAAATAAAATAAAAAAGGTTTTGACTGCTGTGGGGGGAAAGTGTGTATGATCCACCATCATCAGTCCTGTTAAAAGGGCTTATCTAAATCCAGGAGCTGAAGCCACTGCATTTCTGGAAGAGTGAGAGGATTTGGGTATGAGAACAGGAAGATGGGGAGAGAATAAATGGTCAAGAACACATGCCTGCTGTATCATGGTGTTTAGACTGGGATTGAAGAGAGGAGAGGTATGAGAACTGGAGGTAGATGGTAGCGTGTATAAAAATTCAGGGTAAAAAAGGGACAATGAATTCAGGAAGCAAGCAGAAACTCCCTTGTCCTTAACAAAGATCAAGAGGAAGTGGAAAAGATAGAAACGGGAATAGATATGACATGATACAAGATACTGGTCTGCCCTTCAAAATCTTAAAAAAAAGTCTGACTGTCACTTTTGATTAAATTTGCTCTAATTTGTGCTGACTTAGCAAGACAACCCAGTCTGTTTGTCTCATCTATCACGCTTTCCGACCTTTGACCCTCTATTGCACAGCCTCTTTGCACTGATTCAATCCTGGAGCAGGAGATGGGGGAAGGAGAGGATACAATCCTGGAAGTGCAGGACGAGTGTGATATGACATGACTGTGCTAAAACTAGCAGGAGAGGTACAAGGCGCTGGGGACGACTGTCTGGGTGGAAGCTTTAAACCTGGGTATAGGTCAGAGGTCAGAGTTAAGGGTCAGGTACAGCAACAGAGGCATTTTTGTGTGGATGATTCTGTCTGTTGTGGTTGCACTCTCAAAAATCCTAACTTTTTTTTTTTTTTTTTAGTTACATGCTGTAGCTGAAAACATTTATATCATTCTGTCTTTATTGTCAGTGTTGCTTTTCTTAAAGTGGAATCTAATGCCAGAGCCCACTTTTGCTGATTTGTACATTGCCTTCAATTATGGATTAGCATGAGCTCAGCAAATTTCAGTGTCTGGCTTGGATATTAGATGTTTTTCCAGTGTCATCATGCTGGTCTGTCTAGAACATTCACAGCAAAGACCTCTCATTCCTTTTATGGTGTACAGTTGTACAGCTCATAAAAAATTTAGCTCATAGGCATTTATAAAATTTTCCTTTTGCTTAACCCCTTTTTTTCTATGCTTTGCAGGAAGTCAAAGACGAAACCAAATGGAAAGAAGCCTCCAGCAGAGGAGAAGAAGCAGTACCTGGAACCAGAGTTCACAAAGATCCGTGTGGTGGACTTTGACCTCAAAGAGCTGGTGGTGCTGCCCAGAGAGATAGACCTCAATGAATGGCTAGCCAGCAACAGTGAGTAATTAACTGTAGTATGGTGGTGGAGACTTACACCTGAGTACAATATGCTGTACAGCATTAGAAAAATACACACATAATCCCAATGCCTGTGAAGTCTGTTTAACACAACCATTGTTGATATAACATTTGAAACAGGTAAAACATGTAGAGGTCATATTCATGACAAACTATTTAAAATTTTTCCATTTCGCTTGACAATTGTTTTTCCACTTTGATTTGTTCTTGTCATCTGGGGACAAAAAAATCTTCAGTTATTACAGAGTTGGTTCCTAAACATGATCCAGACATGGCATGTCTTTGAGTCTGTTCCAACCACACACTACTTCTTTAAACATCATTGTTTAGTGTCAGGTTCAGACTCTGTCCTGTGTTTAAAGACTTATTGAAATGTGTAGTCTGGGTTTCCGTACTGGTTTGTTATGACTTCACACAATCCAGGTGTTGGTTGAGGATTTGAAACAAAACAAAGCTTCTACTGTCTTTTGTTTTTGTCCATGGAAGTTTGATTTAAAGTATTCATGAATAAAGTCATTCGTCCACATCCTCATATTTTAACCCAAGTAGTAATCACTGTTGTATTTACATTTAAGTATAAACCAGCAGTACTTTTACTGAAGGCTGGCGTTGTCAATGTTTTTGTCAAAAACAGTAAAAGTCCTGTTGTGTGGATACACTCTGTTGGAGGGTTTGTTCCATACGGAGAAAACCAAGATTTAGGATAAGGGAGCAGACAGAATCAAAGACGTACAACACACCACAGCCATTTCAGCTTGTTATGTGATTAGTTGCTTAACATGACTTCTGGAAAATCCCAAGCCCTTTTTTTAATAAATGGGATGTAGATCAAAAGCTGCTGCTTGGAGATGTTCACGTCAGAAGCTTAAACACGAATAAAACTTTTAAAGTTTGCCTGCGGTCTTCAGACCTCCCAGCTTTCTTTAGCTAAGAGCTGCAGAGTAGTTTTGCATAAGTAAAAAATTACAGAGCACCACTACCAACAACTTTTTCCCTTTTGCTTCTGTGAGTAAAGTAATTGGTTGCTGTCAAATAAACACATCAAATTCAAGGAATGCTACAGTACCTGAATAATAACCTGTACACCTGTGAAACTACCATGCTGCACAGTACATTGTAACATATAGTACGTCGAATAATGTTTTATTTTAAGGTATAACGAGCTGTAAGGCAGTTTCCCTTCTGGGTGGAAAAACGTGTAGTTTTCAGTTACTGCACCAATGACAAACACACCAAAGCTGTAGACAGTGGTGTTTCCAGATTGTTTTTCTAAAGTTCACGCACATGTTAGCTGTTCAAAGATGATTGATTAGTGTGTGCATGTGACCGTGGCCAATGGCTGTGACAGATGACAGGCAGTAAACATTAGTTTAAGTGTCTCCAAATCCTTTATAGAATGATGTGACACCCATGTAGGACACCCATGTTCTCACAGTATTTAGGTCAAACACTGACCTCATGCTAACAGAAAAGCTTTTCAGACGCCACATTCCAGCAAATCACAGCCAGTTATTAATGTCTACATTCTCCTGTGTTTTTTTGTTTTTGTTTTTTTTTTTAGCAACTACATTCTTCAACCTTATCAACCTGCAGTACAGCACCATCTCAGAGTTCTGCACTGGGGACACCTGTCAAGCCATGACAGCCTGCAACACGTAAGTTATCCAGGGCAACTTTTGGTTTATTCATCACTCACACGTTAAACCTCATTGGTTTATTCATCAAGAATAGTGGTATTACATTAGTTGATTGAGACGATTACTTCCTGATCAGCCAGGGAATTTTTGTGAACAGGTTTTGTTCGTACTGGGTTCCTTTTTTGAAAAGAAATGACACAAAGCTTGTCACTGTGATCAAGCTTTCACTAATATTGTCAATCTTAAAATCTGATTAGTCTGTACCTGTCACATTAACCTTAAAACTAGCTGACAAAGAGCAATAAAACATCTGTCCTGATTTTAGTAGCGTTTCCGCCACATTTTTTAGCAATAACATCCAAAATATATTTAAGGATATTAACATCATGTTGTGTTCACACCAAGTTCACAGAGGGGAGGTGTCTAACACTAAGTGTTTATCTTAACTAGTTCGCCCTGTCGGGGCGGGGTGCGGTCTTTATGTGTGAGCCCTTGTCTCTGGAGAAAGGCCTTCATTCCCCCTGTGCACACTGAAGGCTGGAAAAACTTGATTACCCACACTGAGATACCACAACACCCACTGAGCTGCTCTTACACATCACAACAAGCGCACACAAACTTGCTTAAATGCTCACTGCAGAGAAAAATGTTAGTGACATCAACACGGAAAAACACAACCTTTGACAATAGTTGTATTTGCAGAGAGAAAATAGGAAATTTTACACGCCTTTACAACTTTACCTATGACTCTATGAAAACAGCAAATGTACTATTTAAAGTTTATTATATACAAAAATAGGTAATAATAAATATATTGTATTTAACATGACCAGTCCTGTAACTCGCAATGGGAAAGCTCGGTCTTACAGACAAGGTACACCATTTAGAATTGTACCTTTACCCCAGCCCACTACCAGCACCCCACCCTTTTCCTGCCTGTGCAGGAGCTGGCACCCACGCCCCCCATCTGTGTTAAAAAACTGACTGAACCACAGTCACAGCAGCGTCAGTGCCCCTGCCTGAAGGCAGAGCTCAGTGCTATTTTTGGAAAATAATGTTTCCATGAGCTATAAGAGAGCGGAACCATTTGGTAGCCATTTAGACCAATTTTGTGTGTGTTGTGTGTGCGTCTGTGTTTGTGTATGTCAGCGACGGAGAGCAGCAGAGAAACTGTAATATGCTTACAGTTTTCATTAGCTCTAAGCTCAGAAAGCAATTCATTAGCATAAACAGAAAACAATACCTCTGTGTGTTATGTATGTGATTTTTTGTTTGTTTGTTTTTTATAATTTGAAGTCATGCTTTGTCAATTCTCTGCACAAATTAGTTACAGTCCAACATCCTACAGTAATACATTTTTATTGATGTAAATCCAGTTTTTGCCGCAGCAACCAGCACCAGATACTGGGAAAAATAGTGTTTCACAAACCTGAATCAAAGTGTCAAAGTTTGAAAAGACACTGACTAAAACAGTCCGGATAGAAATGCAGTACAAATATTACCAGACCGCAGATTCACAGACTTGACATCAGAAAAAAATATTTTTTTCCCCACGTACTTTTTTAAGCTACGAAGTTCCTGTTTGTAGGCAGAGAACGTCACGTGTAATTGAGTTTGAGTCGAGATTTTACCATCGCTGTTGTCTTTCACATATTTTTTTTCTCAGATGTCGCCTAAACGGCAGACTGGAAAGACTTGCTTCAATGTTAACTTTTATTATTTATTAAAATTAATTCACCTTTCTCTTCAATTTTAGATTTTTTTTTTCAATTAATTTATTTTTTGTAATTAATTAAAATGTAGTTTTTTATGCTTTGAGACTATATTTCTTTATGCCACCTTGACTAACAGTGTTGTGTACTGTATATGGCCGTAGCATAAAGTCATGTCTGGGTGAGTGTTAAAGGGGATTGGGGTATTTGTAGTTGAGCCAGTGTCTCTCCCACATACAGTGTACAGTACAGAGTAAATGCATTGTAGGTATATGCTCAGTGGGTCCTGTCCTGCAGTGGTCAGGTATGGGAACGCCTGACATTCCTGTGGATTTGAAACATCTAGACCACAGACTGCCCTGCACATACTTATAAAAGAGCGTCATTATTTAGCCAGGTTCTACTTCACTGTTTTATGCACACGTAAAAATTCTTGTGTATCCTTCACAAAACTTTCTCCGGTTCAGTCTTAGCCCAACATCTCCACCTTGAACAAACAGTATCTGCTTATCTATTATCTGTCATGGCGGTGAATTCTTTGGTCATTTTTAAGTCTATCTTCAGTGTGAAGAGATTTTGTTGTAGCTTCAGGAGAAATGTCTCAATCACGAAATGAGGCACAGATTTCTAGACAAACCACACTTACTGTGTTTCATTGTTGTGTCACAAACGGTGAGACATCAGTGAGCATACAGGTTTTTCCCTGCATGAGGAGAGGAAGCAGGTGACGTGTCTAAAGCCTGTAATTATCACCGTCATCAGGTCACAAGTTGTATTGTTTGTTTTTCCGGCTGCTTGAATACTTGGCTTTAATTTTCTCTGAACTGCTCCTGTTTGTCTCACCGCCCCCTCACTCTGCAGGGAAGATGTTTGTACTTTATTAAAAGCCCTTGACAGCTGTGTAATAATGACAGTGTTTTGTGACAGTGATGTTTTCTGTGTTGTTCCAGAATATACTACTGGTATGACGAGAGGGGGAAGAAGACGAAGTGCACTGCTCCACAATACGTCGACTTTGTAATGAGTCTCTGTCAGAAACTGGTCACAGACGAGGAAATCTTTCCAACGAAATATGGTGTGTTTTTTTTTCTTCTTCAGCGTTTCCAGACCTGTTGGGTCTTTCAACTAAAAAAAAAAACTTTGATTCTGCTGCCCCCTGCTGATATTTGAGAGGATAACTGAGGAAGAGAGCTGTTAACTTAACAAAGGAACACTGCAACTATTTTTTTTATATAACTATTATTAAATCTTTGAAGGTATTTACTTTGCTCATTACTAGTTAATGTAGTTGTTATAAAACAACAGATACAATTTTGTGTTAAAGTGTTGACTAGTGTTGTGGTTCCATAGTGTAGCTGTTTGCCTTGCAAGCAAAGTGCAGAACGTCCTGGGTTTGATTCCCAGAGGGATCACATAATGACACCTCTCACCCCCACTTGTACCTTTGCTTTTGATAAAAGTGTCTCCTAAATTTATGAATGTAAAACTAAGGGTAATCTTTAAGATAAAAAGCCGTCTCATGTGAAGACATCATTTAAAATGGGAATACTTGGTTTGTAGTATACAGAGGGGAAATTGTTGATGCTCATTATTAAGAACACACTTATTTAGAAAGCAGACATGTTTTATCAAATGGTACAAAACAAATCTAAAAAAGACAAAAGTTACCTGTAAAGTAACTAAATGTGTATGTAATTCCTCAGGAGGCTTTTCTAAAACCAGTCAAAAATACCTTAAATACCTTAAATTAGGGGTGCACCGAACTTTTGGCCACTGAAAATTTTCAGCCAAAAATGTGCGTTTTCAGTTTTAGGCCGAAAGACTTTTATCACGAAAGACATGGTCGAAACAGGAAGTTATGTGGGCAGCGCGGGCTTGTCTGAAAGCGAACATTTCTGCGGCGTGGACGTATTTCAATATATCTGAGAAAGACCCACAGATAGTGATTTGCAAAACGAGTAATGTTGAAATTTCAAGAAAAGTACACTAATAGTCTGACAGCACACGTTTCAATGAGATCTATTCGGATTCCCTGCCACTTGATCCGTGTTATAAAGATCATTGATCAATCAAATCATCCACGCCGCAATGGATGCGGAGAACCCGCTTGGAGACGGAGAAGCTTACAGCGCAGGTGAAGGACAGCAGTGCTCTGTGAGGTCCTGCAAGAGAGTGCCTCAAATAATAATAATAGGTAAGCTATCAGTTGATTTTTATTTCTCTGCTAGACATGAAACAAATAATTATTTTGACAATTCTTAGTTTATTTAATATTAATTTATGTAGTTGCAGTGCCATGATTTTATTGAGGTTTAGTACATAGCCATAAATGCAATGGTACTAATAATTGGCATAATTTCTTTCGGTGTTTCGGTTTTCGTCCCTGGTTCTCTCATTTTCTGTTTCGACCAAGAATTTTAATTTCGGTACATCACTCCTTTAAGTTCTTCTTTTAGTAAGTTGAATTATTACTAATTTGAATTAAATTGAGCCTTTTGAATTTGTTATTGTAAAAAACACATGGTATATAAAATAAAACCCAGCTCCACAGGAAACCACCTACTAGAAAACAATAGATTATCAGGCTTGTTTACTGGGATTCATCTTTGATGGGATTCACATTTGATGCTGCATCTGATTCCTCAAACCTGAACATTTTTAAATCACAAACTGTTTTCTATGTTGGATTCAAACTGTTGTCTTTCACTCCTCAGGTAAAGAGTTCCCCAACTCCTTTGAGTCCTTGGTAAAGAAGATCTGCCGGTATCTGTTCCATGTGCTGGCTCACCTCTATTGGGCGCACTTTAAAGAGACAGTGGCTCTGGATCTTCAGGGCCACTTGAACACTCTATATGCACATTTCATCGTTTTCGTAAGGGAATTCAACCTGGTTGACCCCAAGGAGACCTGTATCATGGACGACCTGTCCGAAGTTCTCTGCACCCCTGCACCGCTGCCCGCTCTGGCCCCCTCCACTCCAGCCTCAGCTCCTTCCCCCTCTTCACAAAACCACGTGACGGAGAGATGAGCAGGGTGACGGTGGTAAAACTGCAGCCCTGGGGGTGATGGAGGATAAGGATAGAGGAGAGAAGGTAGACACAGCCTGGCCCCCTGCCTCAGTGCCAGCAGGACTTTAGAGACCTTCTACTACCCCTTATATTTCACTATGACATCAACCAACCAGCCACAAGAAAGAGGGGAAGGGTTTTTGGGAGGGATTTGGTGTTTCAGGGAGGGGTTTGTCACACCAGCAGGGTTTGGTGTGAGTGTTCCTCCCAGAGGCAAATCCCTCCCATCTTCTCTGCAATTTAAACCCGGAACAAAATTGTGTGTATGTGTTTTTTTTCTCCTTTTTTTGTTTTTGTTTTATTTAGTTTTATGTTTTTGCTGCAGGTAAGGGTGTGTCTGTGTATGTGTGTGTGTGGGAGGGGAGTGGAGTGTGTCCGTGGGCCCTTCACCTCTCTCTATCCTCTACCGAACATACAGTACAGGAAGGGGGCTCTGCTTTGCTTCGGCCTAATATTGTACAGTGTTGTTGATGTGTGGAGAAAGGCGTCTCTGCTCGCCTGCGGGCTCGCTCCTCCTGCAGTGACGGGAGACAGCTAGCTGACCCACGACCGCTACGTTGGCAAGTAGGGATCCACGTTACTGCCTGATGAGGTGATATTAGCCAATCACTGTTTGGGTTGTTTGTCGGGATGATTAAAGCGCTTCCTACTCAGGACCTGAGATAATACGTCACTGCTGCCAGAGAGAAGTTGCTGTTTGTTCTCTCTTTTTCCACCCCCTTTTCATTCTCTGTCCCCTGTTCTTTAGTCTGCCCAGCGCGCTATTAGACAAACCATGCTTCAACATAGTCACCGGTTCAATATCCTTGTAACCAGTCGCGATCAAGTTCCAGAGCCAACCTGCAGGGGGCAGCAAATGCACAGATAGAACAGAGAAGGCAAGACAGAGAAGGAAACATTAAGATTGTATGAAAGATGTCTAATCTAATCAGAGAAACCATTGCTTTTGAGCTAGAGTAGACTGGTGCCCATCTTTGGCTGAATCAGCCCTTTTACTGGCATGCAGCAGAGCAACAGCAGCTCCTCAAACCACCACCGCAGCCCCCGCTGCAGCCGCACAGAAGGACAAAGACATTAGGTAATGTCTGCAGGCCCACAGAGGGAGAGGTGGAGGTGGAGAGAGGGGGCGAGGGTGACGGCAGCAGAGCTGCCCTGCTGCTGAAAACACATCACTGCTTCTACTGTAGTGCAAAAACCCAGACTCTTTTAGTTTGTTTTCAACTGTCGCTTTGAGGTTTCTGTTTGAGAGAAAGAGTATCAAAGGAGAGTTAGTACAGATATAATAACAAAAATCGTATCCGTACACATGTATAGAAAATGCACAGTCTGCTTGGACTTCACTGTACAAAGAATCGCAAGCGGGTTCCGTCAGACATAGCCTTTGTGTGGAGGAGGATGGGTTTTTAATTCTCCTTTTTTATTTATTTTAATTCTTTTTGCAGGGTTCTTCAGTTCTGGCTCTCATTTTTATGTATTTTAATTATTAACTAAGTTAAAAGCAATTTAATATTTTAAGCTCTGCGGATTATAATCTAATAAAAGAGAGAAATGCCAGCTCTGCCTCTGTGTCATTTGTATGCTTATTATATATATATAATATATATTTATATATATTATATATATTTACACATTGTTATTTTGTGGTTAATGCTAAACTATTACACAGGTTCATAAATTCATGTTTTTATTTATTTTAACCAAACATAAGGTCTGTCAGAGGATGGAGAGTCTTCAAGAAACCCTCATGAATCGTGTAAAAATGTTCCAAATATTAATCCTATTTAAATATTCAGCATGATCATTACCTTTAATTGCCTTCAGATACATGCGGACAATCCAAAATAATAACAGTAAAAATTAGAATCAAAGACAAACACATTTCAACCAGACCTTATTCTGCACACCAGGGATCCTCAAGGACTGAAAGAAAACCGAACTGTAGAACTGGACTATGAAAACCTAGACCAACCTACCTGAACCATAAAAACTTTTTTTTTTTTTTTTTGATTAGCTGATGACAGTCCATCACAGGACAACATATAGAGAGAAACAACCTTACATTTTTAGAATCTCCAAAAAACCACGTCCTGCATCCAGAAAACCCATGCACAAACATGCAAACATCATACAGAAACACCATCAGTTATTAACGCGGCTGGAGTTTCCAAATCAGCACAGTCTTGCAGGACACTGAACCCACTCTACCTGTCAATCAAACACAGCATCACCTTCGTCTCTGGGATATGCCATAGGGTTTGACTTTGAATTTTCATCAGTCGATGCAACATTTTTGTGTATCATGTAAGCAGGTTGTCTTTGGGGTTATGTCTTGCTCTATTTAATTTGCTTCTAATTTGTATTACAGTAATAGGGGACTATTAGCTCTATAGCGCCCCCTTTAGGGAGAACTGCCGTTGAGTTAGGGCACTACAAAGAATGCTTAAACTTTGATTCTAGAACTAACAGTCACTGTTTAAAATGGACACAAGCAGCCCCTCAAGGAGGGAAAAAAGGTGACAGTTCAGGCATGAAAATGATCTTTTGTTGTGACTATGAACATGCAGTCAAGTGTGGTAAACAAAGATAGAAAAGAAAGGTCCTTATTGTTAGTGAAACAGCCATCCTGAGAAAAGGGCTCCATTTAAAACCATATGTCCACATGCGGATATTGGCACAGGTTGTACGATGCACTGCTTTGTTTGGTGTTTTTTGTTTGTTTGTTTGTTTTGCAGGATTGAATATCTTCTGATCCAACTGGTCAAAATGTTCGAGTGTAAGGCAGAGTTACGGTAAGTCACATTTTTACAGGCTCAGTGCATAATTCTAACTGTGCATCAAACTCACCCTGTGTAAAATTATGTATATATCACTTTTTTATAATATGAACACGATCGTATTAAATATTAATCTCAAGATTTAATTTATTCGGATAAAAAAATGCTGACCAGGTTCTCATCTGTTCACACAGTCTGTCAGCTGTCCACCGGCTTTGACCTGCGGATCACAGTTTGCCGCCGCTTTCTCACAGACGGCCGCAAGGTGACGCCCTCGCTCAGCTTTAAATGAGCGATCCCTCCGGCTTGGTCCAGTTCTTTGGCGCTGCAGCTCGGAGTCGGGACTTTCATGACTACTCCGAACTTGGAGTAGTCCACTGCGTACTTGCCGTCCTCCTCGGACACGGTGGGCACGAAACGCTGTCCCCACAGGATCTCCTCCGATACGTACGAGGTTCTGGCCTGCGTGGTGATACCCGTGGTCTCCACCACCCCCTCCAGAACCACGATCACCTCCAGGTCGTTGTGCAGCAGGTCAGCGGCGGACAGCTCATACAGAGGGCTGTCCTTGTCGATGATGTGGCTGATGATGAGGGGGGACACCAGGAAAATGCCGTTGGTCCCCACAGGGTTGTCCATGTGGATGTCTATCTGGTCCAGAGGAACCACTTCTCCTTCCTTGCTGGTGGTTTTCCTGACTACTTGCATCCGCACGGTGGCGCTGATAATCATGCTTTTCCTCAGGTCACCGATGCGGACCATGAAGCAGAGTTTGTTGTTGCGGACGGAGATCACGGCGTGCTTACTGAAAATGAGCGTCTCTGCGCGCCGGTGAGCCTGCGCAGTTTTCATGAAGATGCAGCCCAGCATGATGGCGTTGATGACCAGCCCGACGATGTTCTGCATGATAAGGATGATGATGGCGGAGACGCACTCCTCCGTGATCATTCGGCCCCCAAAGCCGATGGTCACCTGCACCTCAATGGAGAAGAGAAAAGCGGAGGAGAAGGAGTGAATGTCCGTTACGCACGGCACAAAGTCGTCTCCTCTTTGGTCCAGATCGCCGTGCGCGAAGGCGACGAGCCACCAGATCATCCCAAAAAGAAGCCAGCTGCAGAGGAAGGACATGGTAAATATGATCAGGGTGTGGAGCCATTTCAGATCCACCAGAGTGGTGAAGACGTCCTGTAAGAACCGGCCCTGCTCCCTGATGTTAGTGTGCGCTACGTTACAGGCGCCGTTCTTGGCGATGAATCGGGCCTTCCCGGATTTCGCCTTAAACTTTGGTTGCTGGACATCTTCAGCCAAACGGGTCAGTAAGTAATCATCAGGAATGAGTCCTTTCCTGGACAACATAGCGCTCCCATACTATGCAGCCACTTCCTGGCTTTGGACACGGTGTCCCCCTGAAGGACGAATTCCTCCTTGGTGCTTCTCCTCCTCCCGGCGCCGCTCACTGGCTCATCGGCACCTGCTGGGTGCAGAAGGGGGGACGGTCCTGTCTCTCTGTGGCCCGTTTTTCTGGAGGAATGCGCGCTGCTCTCCTCACGTTCCCTACAACTCAGAAGCAGAACAACCGCGATGTCCCATGAGGAGATTCTTCTTCTTGCTGCGCCGCAGCTGCCGCCGTCACTCTGTGGTGCCCAAGCGGGCGTAGCTGGGCCGCTCCGCGCTGCCCCCTTCACACCCAGGATCAGAGCTGCACGCCGTGCGTAAAGGAAATCCAGATAGATGTAAAATGTTAATGCGAGCGCATAATTGGTCCCTGAGCTGAAGGTTTTCAACCTTGGGTAAAAACTGTGGCTCATGTGGCGCAGTTGGCACCAGAGCTGAGTCGGTCACTTCACTACCGCACGGTAATGTGAGCCCAGGAAGTGTAGTGAAGACGGTCCCTCCCTCCGCTGCCGGCTGCCCTTCCTGTGTTCTGTGACCATCAGGTTTATCAGCAGCTGTGCGGCTTCCACCGTCAGAGGCAGGTAAATATACAGAACGAATAAATACATGTCTGTCTCATCCTCAGTAAAAAGCTATGGACTAATTCGATTTTAGACTTTCAAGTCAGAATTTGGGTACATTTTTTACTTTAAAGATGTATTGATATGACTAAAAACGAAATGATATTGTGCAAAAATAATAAATCGTTTTTGAGTTTAGATAAGTCATGTTATTAGCATATCCTTAGATCGCATAAATTAAGTTCTAACTTAAAGCTTTGGAACCATTTCAAGCTCATATGTTGTCTGTTTATTTTCTCTCTCTAGTGTTAGCAGCGGTCTTATCCCACTGGAGGACATGATGATGACCACTGAGGGTCTGGATTTTCTTCTGGACCAGGTGAACGGCGTCGTATTTCCCTCAGCTCTGCTCCTGATCATTTGAAACCCACGATGCACTCTTTTATAACAGGGTAACGTGAATCACACACAAAACAACGTTTTCACGACAGACAGAAACTGATGCAGTGAATTATAATTTGTTTTTATTACTAAAGAACTAATATTTCCTATGTACAAATATGATACATGATTAAAAAATAAAGAGTTCCTTCCAAGGGACAATTGCACTTTGAATGTCTTCATTCAACGTGTCCTCTTCGGTCTCTTCTTGTGCTACTTGTCTGCATGGACAAAGGAGGCAAATACACTTTCCTCCTGGTCCAGCAGGACCTGGGGTTTGTCGTGCTCCAGGATGATGCCCCGCTTCATCACAATCACAAGGTCGGCATTCAGGATGGTGTGGACGCGATGCTGTGCAAAAGGACATGGAAAGATTACAGATTTGATATTTGTATTTTTTTATACTGGGGACGACTAGCAAATCCCATGAGGTCAGTATCTCAGGTTGTAGGTCTGAGGTTTTTGAAAACGTCAGATAATGTCAATAATAACAGGTTGTCCTGTTAAGTATAAATGTATATATATGTATATATGTGTGTATATATATGAATATACACATATATGTACATATATTGTTTTTTTAAGGGAGAAAGGAGAGTGAAATTACAACATTAAACTGCAGAAGGCAGTCGTACATATATCATACATATATATGTATTGTGTTGTTATTTTAGCTCTAAATGAAGATCTGCATCTTCATAAAAAAGATGTGGTGATATATGTATGTACATATACATATATATATCTCTAAAAATATATATTGTATATATATATGTATATATCTATACACAATATATGTATATATATGTATTGTGTTGTTTATTTTAGATCTAAACAAAGCCCTGTATCTGAACCATAAAAAGGATGTGGTGGGCAGTCACGGTGGAGGCTGACACCCTGAGAGCTTCCTCTGGTTACCTCCACATATGGCTGATCTTGCACACGTGCATTAACCTGGTCATCAAATACCTGTAACTAGAGAAAGCGATCAGAGAACACAACCCTCCTCCACCGCCGCTCAGTTTCTCATGGTGTGTTAATTGATGTGGTATCTGATTCCACATCGCCACCAAAACAGTATCATGTCATTCTGGAGCCAAAGGCCACATCATCATAAAAAGTAAAAATTTGTTCCTTACTGTTTAGGGTCTGCAGCTTAAAGACTAATGCTGCCATAACTAACTGAGTTCATCTTGTTTTTCTTCTCTGTGTCCACTTTACATTTCACCGCAGTTCTGTTGAAGTCTTTTAGCCGTTCAAAGAAACACATCAGCAGAATAGCAGGAAGAGCTCTGTTCTGAGTCAGGAGAGATCTTGCTATTCTGGGAGGGGAGAGGAGAAGGAGCGGAGATACTCACTGCTATAGTAACTACTGTCCGGTCAGCGAATGCAGTCATCACTACTTTCTGCAGGATGCTCTCCTGTGGGATGGAGCCAAAGTAAGTAACACACAAAAGACTCTTGTTTGACAGACAAAGATCAAATGAAAAGCCAGAAAGTGTTTGTTGGAGGGCATTGATGCTGCTGCTGCTGACGCTGACAAGTCAAGTTAGACATGTCCTTGTCGTCTCACCCTCAGGCTCAACTATGCTCACTGTTTACTCTCCTTATCTTTCTACTTCATGCACACCTTCTCCTCCTTCTTTTATCAACATTTCATGAAAACAAACCACTTTCTGTGACTTTAACCTGACATCAATCAAGTCCAGCAAACTGTTTATATATTTCCATTTACAAGTACAGTAAAGGGGAAACACAAAATAGGAATTAGGGATACTGAAATCCCTGAATATGAAAATGTTGTTTTGTTATAGGTTTTTCCCCACAGTTAGTGATATTATGTTGATTAAGTCAAAGCCCAAACCAACAGTGTACGTAATCTGATTTACTGCTGTGTTCTGATTAAAACTCAAACTGCACAAGAACTCTGAATTTGAGTATTGAAGCAAATGCATTTAAACAAATGAAAGTATTGAAGTCATAGAAAAAAAACCTACTTCTGCTAGTGCACCTTTAAGACCTTTGCCACCTTTGGTAAACACACACTGACCGTTGCCATGTCAATTGACGCCGTGGCTTCGTCCATGATGAGGATGCTGCTCTTCCTTACGAAGGCTCTGGCTAAACAGAAGAGCTGTCTCTGTCCCTGACTGAAGTTCTCTCCTCCCTCTGTCACCACAGCATCTGGAAGACAAAGCAGTCACACCTATAACACAACTGTACTGCAGAGGTTTGGACTCAAGTCACATGACTTTAATGTTGGGCTTGAGAGGCATCCAATGGAATGTAGAACGCTGCACAGAACAATAAATGTTAATGAAGCCTCCAGTCACAAGGTGGCTGCAACTCATAGAGTGGTTTGTACAGATAAGAATATATAAGCAGGTTCTCAGTAATATTTCAATTTGGTGTGGTGGTAAAAAAAATTCTAAAATACTTTTTGGAGTTGTAAACACGTAATATTAACTTGGCAGCATGTTTTAGG